CTTGGTTATTGCTCTGATCTTCCTGACACTGTAAGTTAAAGTTTTTCAACTTTCAAAAATATTTTACTGCCACACTATATTCTGATTTCACTTTTGGAGCTCCAACACATATACTAAACTGTAATATTGCCCCATGAGGTCATGAAGTTCTGTTTTTTTCTTGAATCTTTCTCTCTGCTTCTGAGACTATTTCTGGGTTCCAAGTTCCTCTAGACTGGAGAAGTTTAATCTCCAAACTGTCTCCTCTAAGACTTTTATTAGAGCTTGATTTTAAGCTTTGCTAAAGTGGGTTTAGAGGGGCCTTTCTCTGGGTGTGGCCTTTACCAAACAGCACTGGTTTGGCCTGATTTCCCTTGTTGTTAGGAGGTGTTGAAGTGTTAAAGTCTGTCTATTATGTCTGGGTTAAAATTCTAAAGTCCCCAGCATTCTTTCATATTTTAACATCCTTGTTCTGCTCTCACCTCTGTAGAAGTTACTCTAAGACTTGAGTGGCCATGCCTATGGTTGTCCAGCCCAGTCATCGGTTAAGGACTTATAGGAAACTCCCATAGGAGTTGCATGACTTCTATAGACTCCTTTTCTTCATCTTCTGCCCCATAGTTTCCAATCACTTCAAATGTCCAGAACTCTCATCTCTGCCTCCTTAGATGAGAGAGACTTCCATATTCTGAATGAATTTCAGGTCACTGCCCTGGATCTAGGAAAATTTCCCTAAGCAGAGGTCCAGAGCAACTGTGGGCTCACCTCTTTCTTTCCTCAGGAACCATAGCCCATTTCTGCGGTCATCTTCTTTTAGATATTTAATTCTAACATTTGTTCATGTTCCTTTTTGGTTACACAGTGCCTACCCCAAAAGTATTGTTCTCTTAAACTGTTGTTCTTTAGCTGACATTCCAGTTTTGCCTTCATATTTTAACTTTCACTACATTCTCTTGGCCTCCTGGTTACATAATTGGTTTATATTCCGTTTCTGGATTATTGAACTCTGCTTCCTTTTGGATTTCAGGATATAGGCAATCCCCTGATATGGAAGCTTCTGACCTTTAAAATATAAGATACTTTATCATATATAGCTATGAATTACTATTACAGTTGAACCACCCTCCTTCCGTGTCTCATCTTTAATGGACAAGTAAGAGGATTTTGACACCAGGGAACACTTATTGAGCCCTATTTGCTATTCAACTGAACTAAAAATAAAATGTCTATCAAATTTACCTCTTTTTCTTTGCTAACAAATACAATTTAGCTAGACGAGAATGTGTCCATTTAAATATTAAAATTCCCAGATTCCTGAAAGCCAGAAGTGGCCAGAGAACACATTTCCCCCCAGTGAAATGCATGTCAAGGGCATCAGGTAGGATTTTGGGACAACCAGTTGTTTCGTTAAGAAAATAAAAAGAAAAGTTACACATGAATCCCATTGCCTTTCTACTTACACACTCTGCTTTATGAAGTTCTGGTCTTAGACCTGAGAAGAACATCGCCCAGAAAGCCATGAGATCCCAAAGAATGAGAAGCTCCTGTAGTAAAACTGAACCTAATCTGTGGCCTCGAACCCACTCTCTACAAAGCCAGCTTATATCAGTCAACCTCAGCTTTTCCAAAGTTGTGAGATGTAAATGCTTATTTTGCCATATGCCAGTGAGATCTTTTCGGTATTGGTTATGCAGCCCTGATTCTGGCAAAGCTGGCTGAGACAGTAAGTTAGACTCAAATACTGGAAACTCTTAATTAGGAGAAGATAAAAATGTAGGAGGAAGTAGCCCACCTCTCCTGCTAGACTGCCTGTGTTCACTGCCCAACTCTATTTTCAATCAGATTTTCACCCAATTGACTATCCTTGTGTCTCAGGTTCCTTAATTGCAAAGCAGGAATAACAATGCTTTTTTTGTGAGGATTAAAGAGATAATGGTTTAACATCAGATAATATGAAATCTAGTACATAAAATGATTAAGTACTCAGAATTATTAGCTAGTACCAGACTTAAAGGGTGAGATTTTACTCAGCCGGCCAGTGGTTTTTAACTCTATTTTCATGGAAGACTAGTTTGCCAGCTAAACTGTTCCTTAATAAATTAGAATAATAGTGGCCTTTCCCGTGTGTACATTAAGTAAATTTATATAAATTCCTTGTTATAAGAATTTTTCTCCCCTAATTTTCCTCTTCTTTTGATTGGCACGATTTGTTTGCAAGCCAAATGAAAACAAGTAAAGGAGTGCATAGTATTAATAGAAATAATTCAGAAACACTAACCATACCTAACTTGATAATGGGTTTTTTAAAAAGACATGCATGGTCCAAATTGTGATTTTATATTACGCAGCAAAACACAGTATTTTCTCCTAAGAAACTTGTTCCTAGTTCCTGTGATGAAATTGGAAAAAATTTTTTTTCATTATAATTTGCAAATATAGTGTTCTTCCCAAAACAATAATTTGTAGGTGCTTTGCATGCATAAGATCTGTTGTTGAGGACCCAAAATCTCTGGGAAAAATCTACTTGGTGTTGTTTTATTATTTTAAGAGAGAGCTGTACTTGAAGGTTTACCCTGACAGTAATATATAAAGTTTAATTGAAGGTAGAAAGGGCTGGGACCCAAGCTAAAGGATAGCCACACCAAGATTAAAAAAAAAAAAAAAAAAAAAAAATTCCTTGTCAGGAGCATAGAACAGGAAAGAGTTAATTAATGAAAAAGATGCTAGGAAAGTGGATAATCTGACATCATCAGGTGCAGTGGCAAGGGAAAGGAAAGAGATCCTTAAACTTTAGCGCAAATGATAATCCCTCGGAGAGCTGTGTAAAAATGCATAGATAGCCCTTGTCTCCATTCCCAAGAATTCTAGCTCAGAATTTCTGGAATAGTGACCTAGAATCTACAGTTTAAACACATTCCATTTCTGATTCTGATTCAGGTAGCTAAGCATCACATTTGGAGAAAAATCAGAACATGATATACTTAATCATTTGGAAGCATTAGACGGACTCTGCTAATTCAATTATTCAGCACTTTGCACGTCAGTTACCCGCAAGGACTGATGCAGATGGTAGACCAATGGTAAAGGAGGACTCCAAGATTTTATGCTTATGCATCTGACAGAATAATGCCATCAACGAAGATGAAGTACATACTGGTAAAATGATATACTGTAAGGAAGGAAAGATGATTCTTTTTTTTTTTTTTCTTTTTTATGTGTTGTATCCTGGATTTTTTTTTCAAGAGGTAGAGGGGAGCATTAAATACCCACCCTCTTCCATAGACGGTTCTGAAGAAAGTTGTGAGTAAGGGAGATAGAGAATCCACACAGCCATTTTATTACTGATAAAGGCCAGGCTGGAAGCTAGAGTTCAGGTGTGTCACTCACGCTCTTCCTCACACTACAACCCAGCATGACGATGCCTCCTCCCTTCAATTTTACCGGGCAGGAGCAACACAGCATTACTGTTACTTCCAAGCAGCGAAAAGATATTATCTGAACTACAGTAGCCCTTTATCGAAGCTTTACTGGAGGCCCTGTACTAGTCATTTATGACACACACTTCAGAATCCAGGACAGAAGGCAGCCCGGATGGCTCAATGGTTAAGCACCTGCCTTCCGCCCAGGGCGTGATTCTGGAGTCCCAGGATCGAGTCCCACGTCGGGCTCCCTGCATGGAGCCTGCTTCTCCCTCTCTGCCTGTGTCTCTGCCTCTGTCTCCAATAAGTAAAAATAAATAAATAAAAATAAATAAATAAAAATAAATTAAAAAAAATCTTAAAAAAAAAAAAATCAAGAATGCGTGCAACCCCTCACTGTGTTATCTCTATTTGGACCGAAGTACCATAAGAGCGAGGACCACATCTTATTTGCCTACCGTCTCATACTCCTCATTTTCGCACACTGCTAAGCAACGGGTAGAAATTCTAATCAACCTGTTGAATGAATAAAGGGAAAAAAAAAAGTTAACTTCGGCTGCCAATCGGACGTTTTCCATTACAAGTTCTGTGTTAGTGACGTCAGAGTCAAGAAAGTGAGGAAGGTTTTACTCAAGATTATCTCAATCGAGGAGAGAGGCCGCGACTCTCTTCTAGCGCCAAGTCCTGGGAAACAGCTGGAGATGATACAAACTGAGGTGGGGGTGGGGGGTAACATCACTGACCACCTGTATTTACTGACTGGCCTTCCCCAAATGGAATACTCCGCCCCCCCCCATGTGTGGCAGAAGGTAGTGGGCCGCCGGGGGGGGGGGGGGGGGGGGGCAGCGGTTTGGCACCACCTTCGGCCCAGGGCGTGACCCCGGGGTCACGGGATCGAGTCCCGCGTCGGGCTCCCTGCGTGGAGCCGGCTTCTCCCTCTGCCTGGGTGTCTGCCTCTCTGTGTGTGTGTGTCTCTCTCATGAATAAATAAATGAATTTTTTTAAAAATGCTTAAAAAAAAAAAAAAAGGTAGTCTCACAACTTGGCCCAGGGGCCGGCCTGCGTCGGGCTCTCCCACCCTTCCGCAGAGACGGCGGCACGGCCGGGGAGCCGCCTTCTTCGAGGACGTTCCCCCAAAGACGTTCCTTCAAGAGGCCGCCCCTGGTTGCGGAACTGCCACGAACTTCTCAGGGGCCTCGCGTCTCAGGAGCCCACAATCGTCCAGTGCGTGCAGCAGATGCTCTCAGGAGAGAGAGCCCCGGGTCCCGGGGGCGGCCCGGAGCACGCCCGTCACCTGTACCTGAGCTGAGGGGAAAGTGTAGCTGGTCTGGACCGACGCTTAGCCGTGCCGCCGCAGCTCTGCTCCACGGGGACTCCTCGAGGAGCTTCCAGGCGCTCCCGGTTCGCTTTCTCCCTTCGGGACTAGACGGGCAGAGCGCATGCGCACTCGGCGGAGCGCGCCTGACGTCATCGAAGGCGCCTGCCGCTGCTCGTTAGCAACCGAAAGCGTCCGTAGTATCGCGGGCGGCGGCGATGTACGGACTTCCGGTTCCCCGGGCAGCTGCCGCGGCCGCCGCCGCTGCCCCTGCCACCTGCCCCCGCCGGGCCGCGGTCCAGGGGTGGGTCGCCGCTTCTGCGTTCGCCGCGGCGCCCATGGTCCCTCGTGGAGCCAGGGCGGCGGGCCCGGCGGCTCCCGCGCGCTGAGAGGGCGCTCCGGGGACGATGAAGGGCTCGCGCTGCGGCCGCGGCGTCAGCCCGCTCTTGGCCGCCGCCCTGCTGCTGCTGCTGCTGCTGCCGCCGCCGCCGCCGGGCCGGGCGGGCGCTTGGGCCTCGCTGCTGCAGGCGGCCGCGCCGGGCCCCGCGGCCCCGGGGACCTCGCCGCCCCTGCGTCCCGGCCCCACCGCCGCCGGGTCGCCGGGCCGGGCGCCCGCAGACGCCGCGGGGCCGCGGGGCGCGGAGGGCGGCAACGGCAGCAGCCCCCGGGCGGGGCTGGCCGCGGACGACTCCGGCGGGAAGGCCCGGGAGGAAGACTCGGCGGGCGGGAGCCTGGCCGTGAGCCCCAACCCCGGCGACAAGCCGATGACCCAGCGGGCCCTGACCGTGCTGATGGTGGTGAGCGGCGCGGTGCTGGTGTACTTCGTCGTCAGGACCGTCAGGTGAGGCGGGGCCTCGGCGAGACGGGCTGCCGGGTGACCTTGCTTGCGGCCGGGCAGCGACCTGGCGTTGCACCTGCGAGCCCCGGTTACCCGCCACCTGCCTGCGCGGGTGGCCATGGCGACGCGCGGGGGCACCGCTGCAAGACCTGAGGCCACCAAGCACTTACCCTCTTCCGTTCATGAATCATACCGTATTACTACGTGCTCGAAGGGCGCACTCTCCTTGAAGAGCAAGGAGTCTTTTATTTATTTTGTTTTGTTTTATTTTATTTTAGATTTTATTTACTTATTCATGAGAGGCACACACACACAGAGAGAGAGAGAGAGAGAGGCAGAGACACAGGCAGAGGGAGGAGCAGGCTCCATGCACCGGGAGCCCGACGTGGGACCCGATCCCGGGACCCCGGGGTCACGCCCTGGGCCCAAGGTAGATGCTCAACCGCTGAGCCAGTCGGGGATCCCCGGAAATATTTTCCTGACCGCACTAAGACTCCTCTCTGTGTGTTGTCGTGTACTCTCTCGTTTTGCCTATCCGGGTGTAGACTTCTAGCAGGGCCAGGATTCCTGAATAGTAGTAGCATCTGTGAGCCCTGGAGTTCTTTGCACAACGCCGTCCCTTACTCGGAAATTGTTAGTATTGTTGGATTCATACTAGTGCAGAAAGACCTTGTGAGTATGTTATTTTGTAAAATTCATTTAAAAAAAAAATACCTACCTACCTATTTATTTATTTATTTATTATACACACAGAGAGAGGCAGAGGCACAGGCAGAGGGGAAGCAGGCACCATGCACGGAGCCCGACGTGGGACCCGATCCCAGGACCCCAGGATCATGCCCTGGGCTGAAGGCAGGCGCTAAACCACTGAGCCACCCGGGCTGCCCTATTTTCTAAAATTTAAAAGGAAAGTTACTCCTTGCCAGCATGTTCTCATATTGGTGTTTAATCTGCCACTTAATTCATTAGATTATACTATATGAAGTTTCCTACATTCCTCTTGTTTTTGGCCAGGAAAAGCAACAGTTTTGTACAGTCCAGTCTATGCCGTGTGCCTCATTAATCAGAAGTGTTTAGCACTCACTTGACATGGCACAAGGTATCTCAGTGCAAAGTGTTACCAATTGGCATGATAGAAAACCTATGCAGCCAAAGGAAAAAGAATGTCCAGCATACTCAGGTTTTAATATTAGAGCAAATATTTAGTACTTAATACAACTAAATCTGACTTTGAATTTATTGAATTTTGAATTCGTGAATGAATACATTTGATACTTCACCTTCCAAAACAGCCTTTCTAAAATGAATTCATCTGTGAATAATCTAAGTCATTCAAAAGTTTAAATTTACAAAATAAATAATCTTGTGCCCATTCTTACTACAGAATGCTAGATTATGGAATTCTTTAAATTCCAGCTTTGGAACATATATGATGACTTAAATGGCACCTTTCCCCTTAACTGTGATTTATCTGGTGTCCCATGGGGTTTAAGTAATCTATAATTGTAAATTCCACTGTTTGTTTGAATTTTTTCCCCTTAGCAAGATGTCTAGGTGGACTTAGTAGACCAGGTCATTATGTTGTTTAAGTACCAGATTATGAATACAAGTAGATGATTGATTGCCACTTATTATTCTACTTAATCCCTTATAAAGTAGAAAAGGAATTATGTAATTAAATTGGTGACATTATTATCAGTCACCTTCGTTTGATACATCTTTTTATTGCTGAAGTTAAATTGTTTAATGGCATCCATTGTGATATTTAAATATACCATATAATAAGATTGACTTGGAAGAAATCTATAATAAGAGTATAAGATGGAAAAATCTAAAATAAGGTTATTATTTCAGTGGCTTAGTTGGCGACTGTCTATCTGAAGAGCTGACGTATAGAGCTAAGATGTCACTTTCTGAAGGATTCAGCCAAGAAAAGAGCCGAGGGAACACCGTCTAACTAGTTTTTACGTCCTGTGGAGTTTTGGTGTAGTATTAAAGAAAAAGAAACACTAGTATTAAAAAAAGTCAGTTACCTTGCTCCTCCCTTTTCCAAGTTCATACATATGTGGGAACCTGGATTTTCTTTCTTTATTTCAACCAAACACACATTGCAAATGATTGAATGCAGGAGAAAATATCAAAACCTGGCTGTTTTCCTTTTTCTATCTAGTTCTATTTGTTTAAGCCAAACATTAAAGGGATTTGAGAAAATCTGTATCAGTGCCGTTTTTCACCTTTTTTAGTTTTCTTCTTGACGATTACATTTTTCATAAAAAAAAGATATGTCAACATGTAATGGATTTATTATTTTAAATAATAAAGTTTTATATTTATTTTAAATGATAAATATAAAACGTATTAGGTTTAATATATTAAGTATCGATATGTGTAATCCACATAAACATAAATTCTTTGGAGTACCAAATAATCTTTAAGAATGTAAAGGAATCCCAAGACCAAAACATTTGAGAACCACTGTTGTAAACAGCATTATCTGAGCAAGATATTGCTATTGATAAAGCCAGCAAATCCAGGTCCACTTTTCTGTTGAGGGAAAAGTGAGAACATGTTCATGAGGTGTTAAAGACATAGGACCACCAAACTCAGGGCAGCCCGCGCGTGGCTCAGCGGTTTAGCACAGCCTTAAGCTCAGGGCGTGATCCTGGAGACTCAGGATCCAGTCCCGCGTCGGGCTCCCTGCATGGAGCTTGCTTGTGTCTCTGCCTGTGTCTCTGCCTCTCTCTCTCTCTCTCTCTGTATGTGTGTCTTTCATGAATAAATGAATACAATCTTTAATTAAAAAAAAAAAGATCCTCTCATGTAAAGTGGGGAAAGAAAGCTATTTTATAAGGTGCAGATGAGCCTGAAATTTCGTGTACCAGCTCATTCAGGGCAGTCAGTATTTATTCAGCTGCTCAGAACTGGGCACTGAGGTTCCAGTGTGAGTGAAATAGGCATTTCTTCCTCCGAGCACTTAGAGACTACAGGAGCAGAGAGACACTAATCAAACAGTCATACAGATAATAAAGAATATATAGGATGCTCTGGAAAAGTAATAAAAGGCAGGTCTTAACTAATACTTAGTGCCTAGTAAATACACAATATTAATTTAATTTTAATGGTTCCTATACCTATAAGGTAAGGCACTAAATTAGTTTTCTTTAAAAGTCTTTACTTTGTAACTGAAACCTTATTTTTGAAATTTTATTTATCATCCTGACATCTAACATTTGTTGTTTATGTACCAGATACAATGCCACACACTTCATAGGCATTTTCCATTTTAGTACCTGCAAATACCTTCAAACTAAATAACCACTATTCTTGTACAGGTAAAGAAATTGAGGTTAAATAACTTGTCTAAGGGACACATATATAGACTATAGCAGAACTGCATTGAAACCCAGGCCTGTCTGAACTTTTCCAACATACGTAGCTACCATACTGCTTCCTGTGATTACTTAAAGTAACCAATTTAAAGTGATTTTGCAAATACGAACGGCTGACTTATTTTAGGACAAATAAACGAGTATTGTATGCACAGTACTTTTCTATTTAAAAATAATAGCTTTTGTGAGTATTAAAAACCCTAAATTTTATTTTTAAAAAGTTGCGTTGACCTTAGCATTTATTGATTATTGTATCTGTGCCAACCTGAAATAATTTGGTATTATACCTCAGCCACCTACTTCCCTTTCCTCCGCCAAAGGTTTTTTGATTTGCTAGACACAGGGAGTAGTGATATTTTACAGCAATTTCTATTACTAATCTGATCGTACATATTTCTACCTCAATTCCCTCTGGAGCTATTCATTATTGAATTATAAATGTGGGATTGATAAAGATATCTTTCCCATCTGGTTACTTAACAGGAATCTGACTTATAGGATTTATTTTCTTATACTCCCAGAGGACATATGGTTTCAGCACTACTTATAAAATCATAAGATATCAATAGATATCACTCACTTTAGGCAGAAATAGGGAATACTTTGACTATTTAACATTTATGTGTTTACTCACTGTCATTTATTCAGTAAATACTCTTGAGCACTGACAGTGTGACAGTGGTAGGTAGGCCCTGTAGTGAGAATCAGCAGTGCTCAAGATAAGAAAAGCCCCTGTCTTAAATTCCATGTATTGATACATTCTTGGAAAGTGGAGTTTTCTCAACAAGTATAAATTCTCCTGGTTTGTCATCGTTTGTTCAACTAGGTAGGATATATTGAATGTTATAGAGACTCAGAGCTTAGAAATATATTTAACAAGTATACGTTCCTAAAGAATTGATATTCTCTGCAGCGATGAAACTTATTTTCCCAAAACGTTTAGTCATAGTCTTAAAATACTGTAAAATGCTAATGTGGCTTTGTGGTCAAATACCAAAATGTCAAGGTGATTATGTATCAGTTGTACAGCAGTCTGATATGTACAGAGTCACTGTGAAATGAGAAGACTCAGAAACCGGATGAGAACAGAAGCCATTTATTTCTTCTTCTTCTACTTTTTTTTTAATCCAGGAGTAAATGCAGTGTTTGCACCCAGATATCTAGTATGTGAAGTAGGTGGCCAGACAGAAAAAATAAATATTTAGGTAGGGAAAGTAGTTTACTAGATTTTTCAAAAGAAATAAGAACCCCCTCTTCCATCTCTTGTATACTTTTTATTTCCTGCTTACTTCTAATATTAAAGGATTACGTTACTGCTTGTATCACTCACTATTTTGGTTAAACACATTAAACAGTCCTGGTTAACTTAAACTAAAGGGGATTTTTTTAAATTTCAGAAAGTCAAAGACTAACCGAAGAATCATGTTTTGATAACAGGTAGGAATTAAAGCAGTTTAGGAGGTAAGAAACCAAAACAGAAGTTTCTTTCCACTAGATAGATATGAAGTGGTTTTCAGTCTCTTTGTCCCTCAGCTCAGGAATTGACTCTCATGGAAGGGGAAATAAATTTGCCCCACCTCTTGGCAGAGATGGTTACAATCCTAATTATTACCT